AATCAAGATCTTAGAAGTGCAAGAATGGAGCTTCTACTGGTGGAGATTCAAGTGTACTTTGGAACTTAATGCCAGCCTCTATAAAAAGCTGCACTCGACGGAGCTTCAGACATCGAAGAGGCGCCTGCTCAGAAATCGAAGAGGCGTTTGCTTTCTCAAAAGCTGGGCTGCTTAGAGACCACGAGGGTGATCTCATAAATCGAAGAGGTGTTTGCTTTCTCAAAAGTTAGGCTGCTCAAAGACCATGAAAGCCGATCTCAGAAATCGAAGAGGCGCTCGCTTTCTCAAAAGCTGGGCTCCTCAGAGACCACGAGGGCCGATCTCAGAAATCGAAGAGGCACCTACTTTTCCAGCCTTGTCAGCACCTGTCACACGCACACTCAGCTTTGCGGAAATTATGGGTATTCTGTCGAAGACTTCTGGGGAAGTAGAAAACACATGAATCTTACTGTTCAATCACCCACTTCCCACACGCAACAATAGCTTATGGGTACCACAGATAACTTTGCCAAAGTTCTCTGCCAAAGTTGAGCACGTGAAGCTTGCAGCTCCCACTACATCGCTCTGACCAAGAAGGGTAAAAGAATAGCAAAGAAACAGCACTAACAAAGTTTAGACCCATAAATTTTGAAGGTCTAGCTACCATATTATTACCCACAAGGGTAAAGGAACAGTACCACTGCTGGATAATTGGAAAGTCCCTGTGTCAACCTCTGTGCCTCGTGGCAAGGTAGACTAGCAAACATGCCCAACATTTACTCACATTCGAGAAAACACTCCCAATAAGATTGCTTGCTCCAAAATCGAAGAGGCACCGTCCTCCGAATCTCGAGAGCCAGACTCCCAACATGACTACTTTCTCAAAAATCGAAGAGAGGGTAAAGGAACAGTACCATTGCTGGATAATTGGAAAGTCCCTGTGTGTCAACCTCTGTGCTTCGTGGCAATGTAGACTAGCAAACATGCCCAACCATTACTCACATTCGAGAAAACACTTCCAACAAGATTGCTTGCTCCAAAATCGAAGAGGCACCGCCCTCCGAATCTCGAGAGCCAGACTCCCAACATGATTACTTTCTCAAAAATCGAAGAGACATTGCTCCCCGAATCTCGAGAGCCAGACCCCCAGCATGATTGCTTTCTCAAAAATCGAAGAGGCATCGTTCTCCGAATCAATCGAAGAGGCGCTCGCTTTCTCAAAAGCTGGGCTACTCAGAGATCACGAGGGCCGATCTCAGAAATCGAAGAGGCACCTACTTTTCTAGCCTTATCAGCACCTGTCACACGCACACTCAGCTTTGCGGAAATTATGGGCATTCTGTCGAAGACTTCTGGTGAAGTCGAAAGCACATGAATCTTACTGTTCAATCACCCACTTCCCACACGCAACAATAGCTCATGGGTACCACAGATAACTTTGCCAAAGTCTCTGCCAAAGTTGAGCACGTGAAGCTTGCAGCTCCCACTACATCGCTCTGACCAAGAAAGGTAAAAGAATAGCAAAGAAACAGCACTAACAAAGTTTAGACACATAAATTTTGAAGGTCTAGCTACCATATTATTACCCACAAGGGTAAAGGAACAGTACCACTGCTGGATAATTGGAAAGTCCCTGTGTGTCAACCTCTGTGCCTCGTGGCAAGGTAGACTAGCAAACATGCCAAACCTTTACTCACATTCGAGAAAACACTCCCAACAAGATTGCTTACTAAAAAATTGAAGAGGCACCGCCCTCCGAATCTCGAGAGCCAGACTCCTAACATGATTACTTTCTAAAAAATCGAAGAGACACTGCTCCCCAAATCTCGAGAGCCAGACCCCCAGCATGATTGCTTTCTCAAAAATCGAAGAAGCATCGTTCTCCGAATCTCGAGAGCCAGATACCACATACCACTTTTTCAAAGTGCTCTGACAGAGTTAAAACATGTGAAGCTGGCAGCTCCCACTACCGTGCTATGACCAAGCAGGGTAAAGGAATAGCACTACTACTTGTTGTTAGGGAGACTCCTATATATGTCGACCTCCATCCCCAACGGACAGGCAGACCTGCAAAAATGCTTAACCCTTCCTCATATCTGAGAGGGCACTCCCAACGAAGCCTTTCTAAATATTCAGCTTTCTTTCCCCCCGATAATACCTCTGCAAACAAGCTATACTAGAGCAAGAATATCTCATATCATCAGGGTTAAAAGCAAGAGTATCCCATATCATGCTTTTTCCCTGTCTTTTCCTTTGGCCTTGTTTTTACCTGCAAGACAAGGAGAAAGAGAGCAATCAGTCAGCACTTGAAATCAAGCTCCCAACCAGGAACTGACTGCCTGGAACCCCTTACCTGATTACTTACCTGGCATTGCTCTCGAGTACTCATCTTCAACATCTTATGTTTCCAGGGAAGATACCGCATCTGCTTGAGGAACAGATAGGGCAAGTGCGAAGGATACAAGGAAGCATGTGGAGACAAGCATAACAGCACACGTGCCTATACATCCATTACTCTGTCAAAAGCAAAAGTATCCCATATCAGCAGGGTCGAACGTACTCTAGATTTGATGGACTTGTTTTGACCCTCAAATTCTTCAGTCGGCCTTATACTCTGGAGGAAACCAGAAAACCCTCCAGCTCAGTTCAAGAATAAGCCTGTGGAAAGTTACTTCTTCAAAAGCAAAAGTATCCCATATCATCTCTTCTCATTTTTCTTCTCTTTATCCTTCATGCTGCTGCAAGATGGGGAGAAGGTGAACAATCAGTCGGAGCTCTGATTGCTTACCTTGTCTGTCACCTCTTTCAGCAGATCCCCTAGCTCGGCGACTTGGGGGACTCCTACTACATGGTTTGTATCGCGCTTGACCAAGCCTGAAACTACAAGTAAGCTTCAAGTGAAATTGATACATTACCTTGTGCATCTCCACCAGTTAAAGATACCACCCCTGGATGGAGGAAGAGTACTTCCAGAGAAGCTGCCACATCTACCTATGAGACAGATAAGGCAAGTCAAGATGATACCACACTCCGATACTTAGAAGTTTCGTGATTACGAGATCATTCTCCCACAATATTTCCTAATGTCATTTGTACTCTAATGTCATTTGTACTAAATCATTCACTTGTACTCACTAAAGGAGAGCTTAAACCTATGTACTTGTGTGTAAACCCTTCACAATTAATGAGAACTCTTCTATTCCGTGGACGTAGCCAATCTGGGTGAACCACGTACATCTTGTGTTTGCTTTCCTATCTCTATCCATTTATATACTTATCCACACTAATGACCGGAGCAATCTAGCGAAGATCACAAAAAGCGACCGTTTTCGCTACCTAGGATCTATCTTGCAAGAGAACGGAGAATTAGATGGAGATCTCAACTATAGAATACGAGCTGGATGGATGAAGTGTAAGAGTGCATCCGGCGTGTTGTGTGACTGTCGTAAGCCACTGAAGCTCAAGGGAAAATTTTATAGGACGACAATAAGGCCAGCGATGTTGTATGGCACAGAATGTTGGGCGGTGAAACATCAACACGTACACAAAATGGGTGTAGCGGAGATGAGGATGCTTCGTGGGATGTGTGGGCACACGAGAAAGGATAAGATTGAGAATGAGGATATCCGAGGTAAAGTAGGAGTAGCCGAAATTGAAGGAAAGATGAGAGAAAATCGGTTTCGGTGATTTGGACATGTGCAAAGAAGGCCGACTGACGCTCCGGTTCGAAGATGTGACTACGGGACAGAGGTTCAGGGCCGAAGGGGTAGAGGAAGACCTAGGAAAACTTTGGAAGAGACTCTAAGGCTTAGAGTACTTGGATCTAACGGAGGACATGACACAAAACCGAGCGCAATGGCGTTCTAGGATTCATATAGCCGACCTCACTTAGTGGGAAAAGGCTTTGTTGTTGTTGTTGTTGTTGCAGTTCAGCCATCGAACTATCGTGTATTTTTGTTGTGTCGAATGTTCAAACTATCGTGCTTGGTCATGAGATTTTTACTTTGTCCTGGCCTGGCGTATGAACTAGTCCAAGTTTATAATATAAAGGCGAATTTCAAGTAGACCTGGCATTTTTGGACCCGATCCGTTAACCCGGCCCGTTAATATTAGTATTTGGATGGATGCTTAACGAGCCGGGTCACAACCCATTAAATAATGAATCACTTTGGATCAATCCATTAGATCCGTTAGTTGAGAAGGTTCGAGTAATTTCACTTTTGGGGTTGCCCGCATAGGGCGTACCCGGAAATGAGAGCAGTCCAAGAGACAAGGTTTCTCCTGCGCATTCCATCAAACGGTTGGTGGGCGTAATCCAAGTGACCAAATTTGGCATACATATTGATGGAAGAATCGCCGGCCAAAGATAGATAATGTTTTTTTTTTTCAGAAAACTTTGTTAAAGAATCTGACCTCCGCTCAAAGAATCGCCGGCCAATGATAGATTATGTTTTTTTCTTCAGAAAACTTGTAGGTCCTCCATTATCCCCTCACTACTTCAAAGTTCATTCGACCTCCGCTCCCGCCATGGGCATTAAGACCAGAAATGGGCATTGATCGATGAGCAAAATCTGACAAAAGCTTCCGTTGATGCTCATCTGTGTGAGGAAGACTAGCACGCAGAAGCTCCACAGGCATTTCATGATGTAGCGCCCTGGTGGCCTCTGAACCAATAACTTCTGTGCTTTGATGACTATATAAATATTGATTATACTATAGTTTCATAGGCAATACTTGGTGAGCAGACCCAAAAATTCATCAAAGGATGCCTGCCAAAGGCGCGCGGTTAGAAATGCTACAGCTTCCAGTAGCGTGAAGGTCACTTAAGAGTACAGTTGCATTGGAATGCAAAAATATTAAAAAATAAATAAATAAAAAAGTTAACGGGTCTTAACGAATGAAACGGATGACCTATTAGATTAACAGGTTAAGTTCGGATGATCTGTTAGCTTAACGGGTCAGATTGAATCTAACCCAAACCCGATAAACTCTACATGTTTACAGGTCTTTCAAGATGTCGCTGGACTTGTAAATCAAGTTTTAAAGATAACAAATAGGATATTACACACTTGTCAATAACTTGCGTTTTATAACGTATAAAGTATAAAAATTACTAAAATAACAAGTCTTGCCTATTTGTTGTCTTATTTCTTGAACAGACAAGTGAGCTCTCACAGTACAAATTTCCCCTAAAGTATTTCCTAATTCTATTGGATAAAGATGCTTAGGATTGTTGGATTAAAAAGTCCGAATCTTATTCAGTTCCAATGACTTCGAACCCTTCAGACTCTTCACTTGATCCACATGCTTCAGGCTCATCTCTTGATCGACCACCTTTGGAATTGTCATCTTGTCTTGTTTCTTCTTCTACTTTTGGTTCCGTCGACATGAAGACATGATCAAATTTGAATTTCTCAACATCTTCGGCATACAATGGGCGTATACCACAGCTTTCCACCTTCATGGATTTGGAAGGTGGCAAGCTGCCCGCTGGATTATTTTTCCCAAACATAGCCCGTCGTGGCAAGCTGCCCGCTGGATTATTTTTCCCAAACATAGCCCGTCGTGGCAAGCTGCCCGCTGGAATATTTATCCCAAGGGAAGGCGGTGGTGGTGGCGGCAAGCTGCCCGCTGGATTATTTATCCTACGGGAAGACCCCGATCTGAGGACGAAAAAAGCCCGCTGGTAGGAGTCAACAGGGTAGAAGTCAACAGAGACCTCATTGACAAGTTTGTAAACATTAGGGGAGCATTTTTCTGCTACCCTTTCACTACTAAAGGCCTCATTCCACACAAGCACGTGATATTGGTCGTAACCGTAGTCATTCTGGCGGCTGTCTTGTGGGATAGAGAATACAGAAGTGAACAGTTCATGGCTTTCACACATGAATTTGACAATGAAATTAGCTCTTACAATCAAGGAACGTTGCGGCTCTGGAACCCCAGAAACAACAGCAGACAGAGCGAAACCAAATAAACCTGTTTGAAACCAATCTGGACGAAGCTTGATGTTTACTGAAGATCCCTCACTTTGATAGCTGAACCAATTTGGAATTTCTTTTCCCTGACATACAACCTGAATCTCAGGCCAAGGAGTGTCCTTTGATGGAGCACTAGTTGCCTCTCGCATAATTCTAATCTGTGCTTCTTCCATTATGTTGCTCCTTGCATTATTATCCAATTTTGGGCAATTAATAAAACGTTTGCAAAAGCAATCATGTTGAACCCAACCTTGTGTGAGTACTGTCCTTGTACTTGACACTGTCTTCAGCGACGTGCAGCCTTCAGCTTCAACATTACATAGCACTGGGAGCTCTGGTAAAGATTGAAGCTGCTCGCAGCCGACTAAGAAGAGTTTAGACAACCGAGAAGCTTGTTTGATGCTTGTAGGTATGCTCCTAACCTTGGTTCCACTCAGATTTAATTCTTGCAATGAGGTTGAGCAAACGAGACCATCAGGGACATCCTTAAGGTGCTTGCAGCCACTAAGGTCTAAAGTTTGAAGCCTAATTAGATTTTCAATAGGCGAAGGAAGCATTTTGACAGCTGTCTCTTTCAAACAAAGAGACACCAAATGTTCCATTGGCTCCAAGATCTCTGGGAAGTTTTCAAGTTTAGAGCAGCCAGATAGATTGAGTTCCTCCAGATATTTCAACTTACAAATGTGGGTTGGTAGACTCACAAGTCTCTTGAAATCAACCAATGATAATTTAGTTATATCCCTGGGAAGCTCAGAAAACTCACCAAGAGATGTGCAGCTCTCAATACCCAAAACATTAGAGACTTTCAGCTCACAGTTGTTGCTTGGAAGTTTCTCAAGGTCTTCGCAACGACCTATATTTAAGTAAGAAATATTTTTGTTAGACCAAACTGATTCAGGCAACTCCTTTATACCAGCGCCTCGTAAATTTAAGTGTTGAATATTTCCTGGCATCTCTGGAAGATACTTGAGGCTGGTACAGTCTTGAAGATGAAGATGAGTAAGCTTGTCAAGATGTTGAAAACACCCAGGAATTTCAACCAAACTAAAACAGCCATTGAGATTTATGTGCACAATTTTTAGACTCCCAGAGAGATTTGGAACTTCAATTAGATTTATGGAGTGACGCAGATCAATAACTTGTAAGTTGACAAGTATCTGCAACAAATGAAATAGAAATATAAAGAATTAATATAATTTCTACACTTGATTTTATACAAGAATTAAAATAGGCCTATAATATAATATAATATACCTGGTCTTCTCTCCAAAGCTTCTTCTTAACATTGCTATAGGGCAAATGTAGCTCAACTAGATTTTCCGGACAAAAATTTGATGGCAAAGATTCCAATGGATACCAATCACAGTAAAGATAACGAAGAGAATCGGGAAGGTCTAGGGAAGCGTTCAATTTGTGGCCACCATACACAATTAGCAATCTTAGGTTACACATCACTTTGAAGTCTGCACGTTTCAATGGTCGCTTTGCAATGTAAGACCAATGAACCCGTATGGCTTCAACATTTGGAGTTTCCTGAGAATAAATGTGAATATAAACATGTTAAAATGTAACGCACATTTGGAAAAAGAGTATTTCCGATGGTAAACATGTACAAGTGTCTTAGCCTAGTCAAATATCCAAGATATTTGGTTCATATTCCAAAGACTTCCTAACACAATAAAAATTCAATCAAATTCATCTCTTAACAATCTGACTTCTTTATTATAAATTAGTTTTACTTTGTTTTGTTGTCATCTAAAGTTGTAATTTTTTTCCTAAACAAAAAAGAAAAAAAAATTGAATGCATTTGGCTCTTACCGTGTTACTCCTCAATACACAATAGACATCCTCATCATTGAACAACCTACTCCGTTTACCGGGATCTTTAAGTACAATTGTCCTTCCCATTTCTTGTAGCAAATCGTGCATCTCTATGGTTTCCCTTCCCCAATTTGAATCAATTGATATGAGAGACATATCAATGAGACGTCTAATTCCGGGTGTCGCAACAAATCCACGAACATCTAACATTCGTTTTACCTCATCCACAAGATCCCCTTTATGCCAACAAGCTATATCCAGAAATATCTCTTTCTCATTCTCTTCCAATCTATCATAACTTATTCTCAACACTTTCTGGATATCTTCACTGGGAAATCGTTTTAGTCTGTTGAATTCATCTTCCCAGTCTTCTTTGTTGCTCTGACAATTGAAGAACAATGACCCTAGAACTGTAAGAGCTAAAGGAACGCCTCTGGCATAATGCACAGCCTTTTCTGCCAACTCCTTATAATCTGTTATACAAGTACTGTTATTCTTGAAAGCACGCGAACAGAAGAGCTGAAGAGCGTCATCCGGTTTTAATACCTCAACCTCGTAGATATTATCCGCTTCAACAGTTGCCGTAAGTGTGCCCCTGTCTCTACTTGTGATAATGATTCTACTTCCAGTGCCATACCGAAGACGATTGCCAACTACACGTTCCATTTGCATTGGAGTATTCACATCATCAAGAACAATGAGGACCTTTGTGCGGCTGAGCCTTTTTCGAACACTAGTTGATCCTATGGATAGATCTTCTTCCTTGAATATCTCGCTTAGAAGTTTCTTTTGCAGGCAATCTAGTCCATCTGGTTGTTCAGATTTCTCCCTAACATTTTTAAGAAAACAAGAAGCTTCGAATTTAGAAGAGAGTCTGTGAAATACAGCTTCAGCAAGGGTGGTCTTGCCAATACCACCCATGCCCCAAATACCTACAGTGATGCAAGCGTCCGGTGAATGAATGCTTAATAGCGATTCGATCTTCTTGATGCGGCCTTCAATTCCAACATAGTCCTTTAAATCACAGGATGATTCGCGACACAATTTGGTCCAAATATCCTTTACAACTTCCTTAACTAAGTCGGCATCAGTCCTGGCATAATGATTATGAAAGAAAGCAATAGTTAGTCTTAAATATACATACCTTACAAAATCTTAGCACAAATAAAATCATCACAAGTTTAAAGAAAATTTATAATTTAATACAAGTTAAAGAATTAGTTAGTTACCCATAATTTTGTGAAACAAACCCAGATATATCTGCTGCATTCTTCAAAGCATTGCTCCACTTGTGCACCTTATCAATACCGTCCTTGAAACGTTTTTCAAGTTGAGCAAATGCACCCGCATAACTCCCGTGTTGTTTTCGTACATCAGATGGATTGATGTCGTAGAATACAGGTATAACCATCTGGCCATGTTTTTCCTTGCATTCGAGTATATGCACAAGCTCATCCAAACACCAAGTGGAAGAAGCATAGTCCTTCGAGAAAATGATCACCGAAAGCTGTGATTCCTCGATTGCTTGGAGAAGGGCAGGTGCGATTTCATCTCCTCTCTTAAGCTTGTCATCAATATAGGTTGTGATTTTTTTCTCAAGTAAGGCAGCGTGAAGGTGGCTGGTAATACCACGGCGGGTGTCCTCACCTCTGAAACTAATAAACACATCGTACTTTTTTGTATCATCAGCATCAACAGGAGCAGCAGCGGATGAAGAAGAAGACGCGATATCCATAACCTCTAGTTTTCAGATCCAGCAAAAACATGTAGTTGCAGACAGATTAATGTTTAATTAAGGAGATAATATTATGACGTTGCACGAATTAAGGAGAATTTACCTAGAATTGGCACAAAGTTTCAGTGAGTGAGAGACGAAAGTAGAAACATATTTTCTTTGAAAAAAACTATAATTTGAAGAACGATATTCATATATTTGCAATCTTGATATGAACGACGTCATCTCAGCATGTAAAACTACCAGTAGTTGAAAACCATAAAATGATATAAATGCAAACCTCGTCTCCTTGCTTTGCTCCCCTCACAATCAGTATCATCATCGTCACCTGATCGATTCCTGCAAGTGAAGTTTTGGTTATGTTTCGTACAGTTATTAGTCAATAAACATAAATCGGATTATTATGCATACCAAAAAACACCGCACAAAAGGATGCAAAAAATAAACTTGAGACCTCTTTGTTATGTTCTCTTCCTTCTTTTCTATTTCCATCTGCGCTTTCTCTTTCAATCTATTGCAATGAAGCTTTTCAGAACCTCTGTTAAGAGAACCGTTTAATCCAAACGTCAAAAGGAGAAATTAACAGCAGACGTAACAAAAATTAATTAGCAAATTAAATGTCAGCATAACATAACAACTGAACTTATTAATTACGAAGAAATGACAAAAAATATAGAAAGAGCCTTAAACAGTATCAATAAACATTAAACACTGACTAACCTCTGACAAGTTACCAATTTGACAAGAAACCAAATCTTCTGCACCCAAAATGAGTGTCGCCTCTTTGTGGGACTAATGAGTGTCTGCCGCCTATTAAATTCATGAAAACAAAATTAAGAAAAGTTAAGATATTGTAAGACATGAGCCATAGAGAGGCCACACCCATTTTGGGTGCAGAAGATTTGATCTCATTTGACAATGGCTTGTTTGTTTTCTCCACCTTCAAAACAAGAAAATTTCAACTTCAAAATAATATATCCAAAACAATTACTTTTTTGTATCTTCAGCAGTGGCGGCAGCGGATGACGACGAATAAGAAGAAGAACCACATATATCCATAACCTCTAGTTTTCAGATCCAGGAGTAGTAGTTGCAGAGAGATTAATTGTGAATAGAGAGAAAGAGAGACTGGTTCAAAATTAAGGAGGATACAACAAAAGCGAGAGAGAGAGTAATTCAGAATTAAGGAGGATCTAATGAAAAACAGAAAAGAGAGGGGGAGAGGGAGACTAGTTCAGATTTTACTTGACTTAGCCTTTGACTAGATGCACAGAGTTCCAAAAGCTCTTTTGGAAAAGCTCTATGAGTAAGAGATGACCAGTTACAGAAGCATAAAAATGGGCATATGGGATGGGGCCCGCCCTTTACGCGCTTTGCGCAGGCTCCAGATTTGCTGTCCCCAAAAGTATGTCTCGTTTGTGTTTTTTTGCTAATATATTGACACATGTCTTTTAACTTAACCTAAAATCATGGTCTTAAATGCCGATAATATTAGCGAAATATCGCTGATATTATCGATTTTTCGTGGTAACGATATTTTAATAGGTATCCAATTAGTTTTCGTCAAAATATCGCAATATATTCGATATTATCGAAACAATCTCGTCGGAAAGGCAGCCGAGGCTGCGTCGTCGCACTACCCAGATCTATTGCATACTCAGACCTAAGATCTGCGCCTCAATGACGGCGATTCCGCCGCCGTTGCCGAAGTCGCGGCAAAATAGCTTGTGGAACGGATCGCAGTTGTAGATCCGGAACCCGTGGTCTGTCCCCACGGCGAAGCAGGCGGGTCTTGGTTGAAGCAGACATGGAATAGAGATGGAGGCGAGCGCGGCGCTGGCGGGGCGGGCTCTGGGGGGAGAAGGAGAATGGGTGGTTGTTGTGGAGGTTGAGGTTGGGGTTTGGGGGCAATTAGGGGTCGTGGTGGTCGTTGCTGGAGTCAACGACAGAGGTGGGGTTGTCGTCAGTGGGATTGGTGAGGAAGGCGGAGGCGGAGATGAAAGAGTGCGAAGAGAGAGAGAGTGAGTGAGAGCAGAGATGAGAGAGTGTGAATAATATGCGGTGGTTGTGCAAGTTGAGGATTCAAAAAATTGGGTAATGTGAGGTAGCAGATGTTGACGTTTTTGGATAGTTTAAAAATTGAAAACCATGGACTTTGAGATGGTTTTAATCATGAAAACCACCCAAGGTGGATGGGTGATGGGAAATAGCAAGATGAGGTGGATGGTTTATAAAGTGGAATATATATATATATATATATCTTATATAAATTATAAATTATTGTTTTCGATTACAATTTTACATAATTTAATAGCATCTTCAATATAAATTTTAAATAAAACCCCCACAACCATATAATTCTTAAATAAATAAAAAAAAGGGTAATAGTTACTCATGTATCTTACCATGCAATGTATAAAGTGTAAAATATTATACTAATTCATTATATATAAATGATTATGGTGTGTTTAAACTTCTTTTATTAATTACTACATATTTTCTACACTCACAATGTTTGCCAGCTCGCTATATAATCAACTTAAATCAGTTAAATCCATCATGCAATGCATTTCCTTCCAATTTTTGTGATAAACTAATAGATAATTGACTAAATAAACATCCTGCAAAGTTTCAATAAAAATTTCCAAGTTTTTCTTACAATTTCTGTGGTTTCCATATTATTTTTATCGATATCGATAATATCCCGATATTTCCATCGATATTTCCGTGTTTTTTGACTATCGATATTTCTGATATATTTAATACCTTGCCTAAAACTAATTCTGTTAACTTTATTTATTTAACATTTAAATTTAAAAAATCCCAAATAATAAAAAAAACTGTTGGGTTAACGAGGTGAGCAAACCCTGCACAGACGCCTATCACACCGTGGAGGTCAGACCCAAAAGTCTCTTTCTCCTTCAACAGCCTCCTGGAATGCTCAGCCCTGAACTTCTGGGTCTCCTGCAACATACAATTCAAGCTAATTACACAATCAAACATGCATTTTGTATTCCAGAAAGAAAAAAAAGGCATGAATTTTCAAACATACTTGCAGATTCTGCGAATTGGGTAATTGGGTCAGGATAAAGTATACTTGTGGGGCGTCGCCGCCGTGGCTCTTGGCGGCGTTTCGGAATATGGGTTTTAATGGCGGAAGAAGAATATGAATAACGACCGATTATGGCGTTTTGGAGGGAGGAGCGAGTGCCGGGCTCCAAACGAGAGAGGAGCCTAACCAGCTCCAGATTTGGGTTTGCTCACCTCGTTAACCCAACAGTTTTTTTTTATTATTTGGGATTTTTTTTAATTTAAATGTTAAATAAATAAAGTTAACAGAGTTAGTTTTAGAGTTAGTTTTAGGTTAAGATAAAGGAGATGTGTCAACATATTAGTAAGAAGACACAAACAAGACATATTTTTGGACACACTTTAGTAAGTCGCCAATTTCTTTCAAGAATTTCCAAACAATATCCAAGCAGTTTTGACTAAAGCAAGAGAGAGAGTAGTTCAGAATTAAGGAGGACCAGATGAAACAAGAGAGAGAAAGAGGAAGAATAGATCAGAATTTACTCGAATTGGCTTTTGACTAAAGTTCCAAAGGCTCCTTCAGGAATATCAGATATCAATGAGTGAGAGATGAATACTTATAAAAGTACACGAAGGGGAACATGTGATGGGGCCATCCCTTTACGCTCTTTGCACGGTTGTAAAGTTTTCCATTTAGTCAGTGACCAGTTTCTTTCCAAACAATTTTCAAGCAATATCGATTGAGGACATTTTTATAATTTTCAAAAGAAAATAAGTGAATTTCACACTACAAAATCATAAAGAGCTAAGCATATAGTTGTTCACCAATTGAGATTGAACAAGATTTGAAATATGTCTTTCCGAGCACAAGTGACAAATCAATTCATTGAATTATAGAATCTCATCCCATTTAGTTTGATTTCATTATAAGATATACACAATCATTACAACTATCAATCTTACTACCATATTAGTTAAATAATTTATGCTTTAAATGCACGTTCGTTGTGTTCACTAAGACTTTTCCTTCATCAACTTTGGTATATTTGATTTCAAAGACCTTGGCGGAGGAAGTTGCTATTGGAAGTTTGCAAAATAAAAAGGAATCGACATCGTTACAATAAATCCAAGATTGGTGATTGATCCTCTCTCACATCGAACTCTGAACACAAGTATGGAGCCTATTCTGAAACTCGTAAATGGTACTCCTAAGCAATTATTTATAAAACTTCATTACTCATTAATATATTGCATGATTTTGTCAAGTAATCATTCCTACTAGAGAACCTATTTTGAGGGGTTTGGACGGTGGATGATTGTTAAGTTTTGAACGGAGAGCCCAAAGCTATTCGACCAAAACGAAGATGGAAAATCCAGACTACATAGATGTTACAGATTTTTAACATCATCGGTGCAACAGTGAGCAGCAACTAGAGCGCAGTGGGTTGATCAATTTACAAAAAAATCCGTGACTCGAGCAGCAACTACGACACTTATTTAGCTTGTTCGTGCATCGTAGCAGATCGAGATCGACGAAAAAAATTAAAACCCAAATACTCATATTCTAAACTCTAAAAAATTGAAATCAAATAAATAAATAATTCATAAATCGAGTCATGGAGGATTCAAAAGTTCAAAATCACCATCCATCAATAAAAAAAAACTTGTGTTTCTCTATAAGAGCTATTAGGTTTTAGCCGGAATAAAAGTATGGATAAATACGGAGTGATGATAGAGTTTAATTATAGTGTGTGAGTTTATAAATTTGAGTTTTATTATTAATTTTATTTTGTACTTAATAGTAATTATGCAATATGATAAAAAAGACAATTAACATTTAAAATTTAAATTAGGTGTAAAAAGAGGTTACATGAGTTTAAATAAAATACCTATATTCACATGAATTATATTTAAACATCAAATGATGATTATATTAAATAGATATATTCACAAGAATTATATCTAACTATCAGATGATAGTTGTATGAAATACATGTAAGTATTGTTGGCAATCTCCAAATTTTAATACTATAGTTGATTTAGTCGTAGTTTTTAGCAGACTAAATAATATCTTACATGACCTGTTAGCATGACATGTTTCAGTATTACCCATGGGTACTTGTTTCATCCTATTAAATGCATGCACCTTTTAATATTTTTATATATCCCCCATCAAGCCCATTCCGACCACTCCATCATTAACTCCCGAATTTTAGAAAGACGAATAGTTTTTAGGGAACTTTAATAAAAAGCTTACAGTACTGTTTATTTTAATGAAAAATCATATTTTTACACTAAAATGTAATTTTTCGTTAAAGTAAATAGTACCGGAAGTTTTTCGTTAAACTTGCCTAGTTTTTATAGTGCATGATTAGAAATTATAGTTGGATATAACGTCTTGTTGATTGTTGTTTGGCGCTACTCGTTTCTCTTGAGATTTCAAGTTCCATTTGCCAAAAAAAAAAACATAATTTCTAATATATGTCACAGCTTAGGTCGTGTCACCCGTTACCTAAGGAGTCAGGTTTGAGTTTGAATTTCGTCACTCATTAGCTTAATGAGTTGACGTGATGTGATACATCTAAATGACGGGTTAACACAAACACGACAAATACAACTTGTTTATCATGTCTAACTTTAGGGTGAAACCGATTTAATTGGGCATACGGTAGAAAACCTAATGGTAAAAGTCAATTAACATTTTACTTTGACACATAAACATGGTTAATACGAGGAGCGAGGAGCGTGCAAATGGGAAAATATAACATATGTCATCTCCCTGCTCTTTTCTATCTTTGTAACCAAACACAACCTCACCCTTACCAAACATAAATCTTCTTCGCCGCTTCCTCTTCCTTCCGCTCGAACAAATCATAACCGGCCACCGCGGCCTCGTCGGCTCTGCCATTATCCTGCAAGCTCCATATTCTAGGATTCAACAACCTCGCACCCGCGAAGGTCTCGACCTCACAGGCAAAGCCGGCGTCGAGTCCTTGTTCACCACCAAGCGAGAAGCCCCAACTCGTCATCCTCACCGCCGCAGAAGACGGTGGCATTCACTGCTGGGTGGAGTCGACGATTGGAGTAGTGATTGTGTGTGGGGTCGACGGAGAAAGCTTAGTGCAACTAATAAACTCGTGTTTTTTTTCTGTCTGGAATTCCGACTTGTTGAATTTTATCATTTTGGTTTACATCTGCCATGGGAAGAAGATTATTATTTTGGTTTAGGTGGTCTGTCATGGTAGATCGGCCATGGAAAGAAAGGAACAAGAAAAGATGAATGCTTGGTTATTTGGGGCTGTTTGGTTGCTAAGATAGCAGGGGTGTGGGAGAGAATTTCAAATGACAGATGTTGTATTCCTGTTGGACCACATAGCTTAGTGAGTAAGTGTGTACTACCCGGACAACGTATCATCCGTGCAAATGCGCCTCAACTGAACTTTATCTCCTTCCTCTCTCTCACATACAGTACACACCCACGCACGCACAGAGAAAAAAGGAGAGACAGCGGAGCCGCGCAGAGAGAGAAAGAGAGACGGCGGAGAGAGAAAGAGAGAGTAGCGTTTCCTTTCATCTCTTACTTATCTCCAGTCTCTGCAAATCATAACAGCAAGTGGATTGCAATTCCTTCATTTCCATCCCTCCCGACCCTCTGTTTTCCAGGCAAGCGTTTGTTCCTTCCTCTTTCTCCCATTTTCTTTTTACCAGTGTTTGGTTATTAATATTATTGTTATTATTTCAATTTTTTTATTGTTCCATTTGAAAACACTGATATATTTTCTTTGTGGGTTATCTTATTCCTCGTTTGGCATCTAGGATTGGATTGGAATGGATAAACCACTTTCTACCATTGTTGTGTACCAGAAATTTTGTTTCTTTTGATTTCTTATGTACGAAGAACCCTTTTGGTTAAGGCTAAATCTGTGCTTTTCACTCAATTTTGCATAAGTTCTTAATCAATCCTAATCTCTGAACAAATGATTATTTGTTCTTATCTCATGTTTTTATTTTTTGTATGATAGTTCTTTCTTTTTGGTTGAATTCTTTTTAATGTTCTTGTGAGTTGTGATGCGATCGCTCCCTCTGGCGCCTCTTCCCTGTTGATGTGTATATATGTATGTCGTGTCATTTGGTGATAAAAGAAAAGGGGCGACCCCAACTCAACAAGGCTCCTCGCTTTGCTAGGGTCGGGGGGACGTCTATTGTACACAACCTTACCCTTGCTTGCAAAGAGCCTGTTTCCACGACTTGGGCCCGTGACCTTTCGGTCACAAAGGAGCAACCTTTTCGTTGCGCCAAGGCTTGCTCTCTGTCATTTGGTGTTATGGTATCATAATTTCTTTGGTTTTTATTTGGGAGGGTTTTTGTTGTTGAACCATCTTTTATTTGTCCGTGATTGTATAACTGGAGCATGAGAATTTGATGACTAGGTCATGGCTGGGTGTTTTGCTTAAGACCCAGCGGAAAGTTCAATTTTTCTGCAGAGAAACCTAGTGTTTGTTTCATACACAATGGAAAATGTTGTGGATTCGGATAGTTAGGTAGGATTCCGTTATGGAGAAGAATTTTGTCTTCTGGTGTTAGGTTGAGTCAACGTGAAATACAAAATTGGCAAATTGATACTGCTAAGTTTGCTAGTCATAGATGTACAATGTCTTCTCCTTCTGAATATGGGACATGCGGGTTCCTTTTTCCGCTTATAGATATCAGTTTCCTAAGAACACTGCTTTGCACTTTGGTTGAAATTGTGTTTGCTTGTATGTGTGGCTAAACTTAGGGCTGATGCATGTATTTTGAACCTTTTACATGATTATGTGACTTAAATTTGTTTTTGTTTATAGGTACGACCATATGTTCCAGTGAAGATGATAAAAATAGTGGAAACAAGGTCTAGCATTGTGCTGGTACACTATTATCTCTGGTAGATAAAGTGGGTAGTATCATCGCACTTACTTGGATAGTTGTGCTTCTTTGTGACAGTTTCGCTTCATCTTGCTCATAAGAAACCACTAAGGCTGGAAGCGTTTAATGTGACCCTCGTGCGGATAGTGAGCCAGATGGTATTGTTATACACTTCATAATGTCACCACACATGTGTATTGTGTAGGGTGTAAAGATTGTGAGTGTAAAATATGGAGTTGTCTTTGCCCTTCTCATTGCAAAGGGATTTTCCCGTCACTTCTCTCAGATCCAGCTTCCTCCCTTGGAATCCTCCTTGCTTATTAGGTACAGTCAAGAGGAATTATAAAAACAATAGGATCTCAGAATATCCCTTTTTCAGTTTCTTGCTCATCTGTCAAAACTGTCCGCAGTCCTTCACTAGACAAGCATGTTGTGAAGCAAAACAAGATACGTTTTGTCCAAAAGCTACAAACACTGCTTCTTTCCAAACCGAAGTGCTATATTCCAATTCATATTCTCAATAAGTGTCGAGCCTACCTTTCCCTATCAAAGCCACGATCCATTCTCTCAATGATTCATCGATACCCTACTATTTTTGAACTCTTCTCAATCCCAACAGCTCCCTTGCCATCCAATGCAACTAAATCATTATCACAACTCTGTGTCCGTCTAACCCCAGCTGCGGCAGCCCTTGCTGCTGAGGAATTAAGTCTCAAATCAGCCATCTCTGACTCCTTGGCCACCAAACTCCAGAAACTTCTTATGCTCTCTTCTCATCATCGACTACTTCTGTCAAAGTTGGTTCACCTAGCTCCAGATCTTGGTCTTCCCCCTAATTTTCGCTCTCATCTATGCAATGACTATCCAAATAAATTCAAGACTGTTGACACCTCCTATGGCCGTGCACTTGAGCTTGTCTCCTGGGACCAAGACTTGGCAAAGCCTTTACCATGTCCAGAAGTTCAGTCACGTGAGTTAATAGTAGACAGACCTTTGAAATTCAAGCAGTTGACGCTCCGAAAGGGTCTAAATTTGAAGAGGCGTCACCAAGATTTTTTGCTCAAATTCAAAGAAATTCCGGATGTGTGCCCGTACAATACCCCCATCTCAGACTTGCCTAAAGAGTCAATTGAGGCAGAGAAGAGAGCTTGTTTGGTGGTGAGAGAAGTGCTAGGGATGACGGTTGAAAAGAGAACTTTGATAGACCACTTGACTCATTTTAGGAATGATTTTGTGCTGTCCAACAAGTTGAGAGGGATGATCATACGGCACCCGGAGTTATTCTATGTGAGCTTGAAAGGGCAGAGAGATTCAGTGTTTTTAGTGGAGGGTTTTGATGACAAGGGTGCACTGTTGGAGAAGAAAGAGGCTTTGGTGATAAAGGAAAAGTTGATGCGGTTGGTTAGAGAAAGCAAGAGACTAAGAAGAGAGAGGAAGAAAGCTAGGATTAACAACACTGAGATTGGTGGCTCTAGTGATGACTTTGAGTCCGATGGTGATGATGATGATGACGACTATGATGACGGTTTTCAGAGTTTGTTTGAGCCTGAAGATTTTTATGTGGATGATGATGTTGATAAGAAGGGTGAGATAATTGACTACAGGGAGAAAGGGCAGTTTTGGACTGTTGATGCTCATTTTGTTCATGATGGCGGGAAGCAACAAATGGAACCTTGGTAGAAAAGAATGTCAAGTGTTCAGATCTTACCAGAAAATAATCAAAGTGCGAGGATAGTATTATGGCAGTTATATGAATGACTGTAAAGATGAAGTCTCACAGTCTGTATCTATATATATGAAGCAAATGGCCCTTCACCTAAAGGGTAATTTTTCTGAAATACCTTACATTATCCTGAGGTGAAAAGTTTACTTAATTCAAAACCTCCCTTCACTTTCCTGTTAATAAAATTGGCTTATGGAAGAAGCAGATTGTAGGCAACCTACATAATTGAATCTTAATACAAGGTATCTAAATATGTGCTGAATTTGTTTTTCATATTCTCTTATTTTATTCGAGGAATTATAACTGTTTTGTTTAAAAGTTTTCCTAGATGAGTAATCAGTAATCATTTTACTTGGTCTTCTCTAGTAGTTTGGAAACTAAATGTGTAACCTTAATCTTTTCAATGTATTAGATTATCATCTTTGATAAAATGGAGCGTGTTCTATGGATCATTCTAAATTTGGCTGTATCCTAGTTTATGCTCCGAAAATGATGAATTGGCTTTCGATGACTACATAGTACAAGCCCTACTATGTGGACAGATACGGGTCAAACATTTTTCTAATTCTGTTACCACAGTAACCAGGATTTGGTTCTATGCAGAGGCTTTTCTTCCTGACCTACTGGTGGATTTGGGAAAAGTCAAGTCTAAAACTTACAAGTGCATAATTTCACCACAAATTTTCTCAGAGATGGCCTGCTTGCTTATGAAGAGTTGTTGTTTACGTCTTTGCAAAAGTGTTGGACTCCTTTGTTGCCCTTACCTTATTAAATGTTTCTTTCCCTTGCAGGCCATGAAGTGGCACAGATAATTGATCAAGCTCTTCATGGAGGCAACATATGCATAAAGATAGCTGATTCGTGAATGTCCAGTGCAGCAACTCAGTTCTCAACCTCTGCATCAATGGCCCCATTACCTTTGTGCTGTTCTTGTATGTATGTCAACTCAAAAAGTGGTTTCACTTGGAATTTCCTTTCGCGAGCGTGAGCATAGGTATGAATCATGGAATTACCTTTCACTGTTTACATTGATTCTAGTCACTTTGATATATTTCGACTATGCTGTTACTCCTAATGTTTGATTAACATCTGTGAATGAAATAGTTGATACACTATTTCATTTCTACGAAAAACAGGAAATTGTTGTTGGCCAACACTAGAACTCATCATTGCTGCCAAAACTAGAACTCGTCAGGCATATATATACTCTATTTTTCTGTAAGCTCTCATAAACATCTATGGAAAACTCATGGGAAAGGGAAAAGGTGCTGTTCCGCACGCTGACAGAACTTATATCCTTTACTCAGGTACAGTGAGGCACTGTATCTACTGAAGCAACTGCCAAACTGATTCACTTGCGATGGTAATATTGGACATTAATACTAGACCAATGGTGGGTGCTGCCATGCTGGTTCAAGAGCGGCACTTACAAGGAGTCCTGCACTTAGGCGCGCGTCAAGGGAGACCTTTAAATTCTAAGATTGGTACGAGGAGCAGATTTCATGAAGAATATGAGGAATGTGGGGTGGAGCAGCTAGTCCCGCACCCGCAGCACTATGCTGGGGAAGGAGGATGGCAGGGTGTTCATACCGAGAGTGGCTTTCGGTTGACTATTTTTGGGCTTCTTCCATGTGATATTATATTTTCTTATATACCAAACAGTCTTCATCCCGTCTCGCTACTGTTCAGAAGTCCGCAGTTAGTGAAACGGGATGAAGACATTCAAACTGAGTGTCCTCTAACCAGTTTGAATGTGTTTAGGCTGCGTGACTGTTGATCAAACTTTTGGCATCAACAATTTTTTATCTACACTTTGCAAAACACGTTCCTTTTCGTTAGGAACCCTCGGTTTGAAGGTGTACTCAACTCATTGTATATATATTGTACACACATTATTTCGAGTATATCGGAGACTATAGTTTCTGCAAACCTGCCGCGTTTTAAATTTTTTGTTCATACAACTTTTTGAATGGAAATTATTTCAAAGATAACGAAGACTATAGTTTCTGTAAACCCTTGTTACGTGGAAATTTTGATTAAATGAGCATTACCATTCTCTAATTGAATGGTCGTGCTTTTGCTTTTCATAAACTTTGTAGATTAAACAATAGAGTCGCCATCCTAATCCACAATTATTCAATTTCTTCGGTTGAATCAAACATTATGTTGGACTGGAGTTTTGAACCCGAGATGTATAAGTAGCAACTTAACACTTTATTCACTAGGATATTGGACCACATGCAACCAGATATTAAATATAATATGTCACTGATGTGGCAATTGAATTTATATAGATGTTAAATCTTCTTCTTTTTCAATGGATGTGTTAAAATTTATTTAGTAATATATTAGGCCCCATTCTAGTTACCTTAACTATTAAAAAATAATTAAAATTGATTTTAATTTTCATCCTATTGGTTGTCAACGAGACTTATGCATTAAAAACATAAATTAAAAGCATTTCACTCTATATTTCTTTGTTGTAAAAAAAGACAGCTAAAAAATAAGGATTCAAATGATTCAGTTGCCACGTCAATTATGACATGTCTTTTAGTAAAAAATAACGTATTTAACATCTCCTTTTAAATATGGTCTTTGAATAAAAATATTCTTATTTCTTTGTAGGCACATATTAAGCCCACGTAGAGTAGTTTTATGATTGCACGGCGTCCCTCAAATGGTAGGGCCTTTGTTACTCACCTTTTATATATGGGAAACAGGGGGAGGAAAGAAAATATAAGTTCGCTTATTACACCCGAATCAGCATATTCAAGATTTTCTTAACCAAAAACTAGCTTATGGATCTGATATCGATATCGGAAGATCAGGCCCATCACTTCTTCTTGACTTTAATGACTTGCCTACAGGAGGATCACTGATGGTCGGAGAAAGAGATATCAAGTTCACTAGAGTAGGATAGAGGAGCTGTGTATATATATTCCAATCAGGATGATAGCTAAACTCGGGAAATGGGAGAGAGATCAAAACGCACGGGAGAGGAGGGCTTAACAACCCATCGTTAAAATTCCATGGATCCAACTATATTTGCACTCGACCATTATCGTACCTGACATTACCATTACATAACGAAAGGGGTTCATTTCTATAATTTGTTCTTTTTTAAGTGTTTTTCATTAGCACCAAGAACTGTCAAAGATAAAGGAGAAAGCCCTTGTCCCGAACATCACGTTGTGCGGGCCACCCGGCCGGATAGGACACGTTGAGTGAGATCAAGAGACGGTGGGTAGGGCCGAAATACAAACCAAGTGAGCCTAGATCCAAGTCTTTGTGTGTGAGTTGTAGATCCATTTATTATCCGATTGAATTTCCTACTCTTTATCTTTCCATGACATTGGTAAGAAACTGATAAAACTAAGACACGTGTTTATCTTTGAATAATGTGGTTTAAACTTGTTTTGACGAGAATCGAACCTAAGATCTCTTATTTACAAGTGAAGATGAATACCACATAGACTATCGTACTAAGTGTCCCGTCTGGAAATTGTTTTTAAATATTGAAAACGCATTTTGAGAAAATATTTCTAGTTTCAAAGCATTTAGTGTTTCATGCAAGAAGCACCAGTTATGTGTCTCTTGTAGGACGCACTCCGAGTGCCTTTCTAGGATTAACTTACATATTTACTAAGAATTGACTTCAAACATATACTCTCCAAAGGCAATTCCAGTCATTTAAAAGCATTTTCCAAACAAGCTCCAAGAGGTTTACTGAAACCATTCGCATTAGGTTTCTTTATTTTAATCACCTAAATCAGAATGAGTACAAAAAAAGAAGTTGATAATTTATTTATTCAAACAAAAAAAAAAGTATATAATATGGGGAAATTCCAATTAAGATAATATTTATTATTATAGATACATTTTGTGATCTATCAACTTATCAAGGTTCATTTATGGACACAACAAACAGACACCAACCCGGGGTTGGCTGACTGGCTGAATTGGGCCAGCCAGTTGGCCCTTTGGTATTTTTTTGTCCATTGAGGCCTATGAGCTATTTGGCCTAACTCTTGGTTGGAGACGATTTTCAGGTTTTTTTTCGGCCCTCTGGACCATTCGGTTGGAGATGGTGTAACTTATCTCATCCAACCCACCAAACGAGACCTAAATGAATCCATAACCCTAAATCATAACTATCACCATGAATCGAAGCCGCTCCGCCATTGAGCGCACCGCATCTTCCCATAAACAACCTCTAAAACAAAGAGAGAATATGCTGAAAACTCAATCTCTCATGATCCGACTATGCCTATTAACAGAAAAGAATTGCGTAACAACAACAAGAAGTCGTCATCAAATAGAGTGACTAACAAAAAATGGACAAGTCACACTGAAGTCCTTCAAACGTACGATACACAAATAAAAGAACACAAACAAATGCATTACAAAAAGTAAAGAAGAGAAGAATCGAGTGGCAGCACGTTGAAGTATGGAGTGGGCAACTCTTTTCATGGTCGAGTCCCCATCTCTCCTTTGATCTTCGCACCCTCTCAAACCTCCCTTATGATTTCACTTCACCTTTCACAAAGAACCATGCTTGCCAAATGAGCGAGGAGAGCAGCGTGCAAATGGGGTTTCTTGCCGACAAATGAACACGTGACATTTATATCTTCACTGTCCATCCATCCATCGGTCGCCCCCACCGAAAATATCAAATTATTATTTTTCCATCGTTATCTCTCGCCCCCCGCCCCCTCTCTCTTCTCCTCTCCCTCCCTCCTCACATCTGTTTCTCTCTCCTCTCTCATTCACACACTCAATTGGATACAGTTTTGAAGCAATCGACACAATTGACACACGCACGCAGAGAGAGAAGAGAGAAAGAGGGGTTGAAGGAGTAACGTTTTCTTTCCCCTTTTGTGTAGTTTTCTTTCCAGGGTTTGCAATTCAAATCATGCCAACAACTGGGTAGCTGTTGCCTGATTTATTGATTGATTGAAATCCTTTCATTTTCTTTGCAAAAAAGAAAAGCCCAAATCTCAGTTTTTCAGGCAGGTGTTTTTTCTTTCCTCCCTTCTGCTAATCTCTCTCAGTTTTAATTTTTTTTTTCCCCCAATTTTTCACCTAGGGTTTCTGGGTTTGAATTATTATTGTTCAATTTTAGTTTTTTGTTGTTGTTGTTGCCTTTATTGTTTTGAATAGTTTGATTTGAAAACGCTCAGACATGGTTTTCAAAGTCATGTCCTTTCTGGTTGGGGTGTTTGTGTTTGTTTGTATGTGATGAAAGTATATGCAAATTTTATTAATATTTTGTTAGAACTAGTAGTTGGGTTTCCCATAAATTTGTTTTCTTTGGTGGTATGTAGTTTTTAAAGATCTTTATAGATGTCAGAGGAACTGTAGACTTTCAATAACATGTATAGATTCTTCTATCTGTTATGTTGACATATCTATATGTTCTTGTTTGTTCATTTCATGGGAATTGGGTTTTTCTTTTCGGTTTTTTTTTATATCGGTACATATGTTTATGTGGGAAATGAATTATGATCAATCATGTCTGGGTGTGTCTTGTGATTATAAAGTGTGCTGGAATTGTATTGAAGATGTTGAAATTGTGAACTTGAATGCAGATAAAGCATGTCTTACCATCAGGGCTATCAATTCGATTATATGGTGGATGAAGGGGACATGTCTGATTTTGTAGAGGATGTGGAGGAAGAAAATCAAGGTGGAGATATGGGTCTTGATGAATATGACATGGTTTGTTTCCATCAACTCTTGGCTCCCATTGTTCAATCCTTTGTTTTTTCCCGTTGTACTAAATGGACTTGAAATTCCTTTGTTCTTGAGTTTGAGCAGCTAACCAAAGTGTCAGATACGTCATCTGCACAAGCGAGAAAGGGAAAGGACATTCAAGGTATTCCATGGGAAAGGTTGAACATAACAAGGGAAAAATACAGATTGACGAGGCTAGAACAGTACAGGAATTATGAGAACATCCCTTTATCTGGGGAAGCTGTGGACAAGGTTTTCTTCTTGTTCTTGAGCATTTTCTTCATTTCATTTCCCCAATTAGCAAGTCACTATTGAAGTTAGCAGACGTCACTAATAATATGTGTTAACTTTGACCAGGAGTGCAAACAAATGCAGAAAGGTGGAAGCTACTATGACTTCTTCCATAATACAAGACTGGTTAAACCTACAATCCTTCATTTCCAGGTTTGTGGACTTGCAATGCCATAACTGTTTATTATTTTTACATTTTTTGATGGTATACATCACCGCTCTCTCTCTCTCTCATGGGTTTTGTGTGTATGAACTTATTGCGTTAGATAATTTTGCTTTAGTTAAATGATACTTTTTTTATTCTAACAAGATAAAGTTATCCACTCCTTTTAGCTGCTTTCGCAAGCTAATGTTCATAAAACTCTTGCACGATAATGTTCATGAAGTTTACCTTTATATCCTACTTGACATTCTTTATTGATTTTTACATGCAGCTGAGAAATTTGGTTTGGGCCACTTCAAAGCATGATGTCTACCTCATGTCCAACTTTTCAGTCATGCATTGGTCTTCTCTATCTGGGAATTTGTCTGAGGTTCTCAATTTTGCAGGACATGTTGCCCCAACAGAGGTAGTACAACCTCCTGTACATAATGTGTATGATCTAGTTTCTGTGAAAGAAAATAAAGTAATCAAATGGAATGTTTTTCATTTTTTTCAGCTTTTGTTGGTTTATGCTCTCTCCCTCCCCCTCCCAATTATGTTACATACGTTGAAGTGTTCCTTATAATTGCTATTTGTCCTCTACTTATGTCCATAGTTTAAGTTTGCCAAGTTCTATGGTCTTGCAGAAACATGCAGGAAGTTTATTGGAGGGTTTTATGCAGACTCAGATAAGCACACTGGCAGTCAAGGACAATTTTCTTGTTGCTGGTGGCTTTCAAGGAGAGCTTACTTGTAAAGTGAGTTTCTAATGTTTACATCTCAATAGCGTGTTGACGGTGCATGTCTGTTTGATGAGAGTTAAGTTTTTCCACATTAGACGTATTGTTTGGTAAATCTGACAATTAGACTTGTCTGGGATCTTGCCATTCTGATGATTTTGCTTTGCCATTGACTTGTCAAGAAAAGAGCTAATGCCATTAGCTGGCTGGAAATTTGGTTACTGTATTTGATCTTGGAAAATTACTTTTTTTTTTTGGGGTAGAGATATGACCTCACTACCAGAGTTTTAACTCCAGTTTAGTTTGTCCTTTACCAATGAGAACTACTGGCAATAGCGGCTTTCAGGGAGTCAGACATGAATAGCTTGGTTTTTGTATTATGAGCTATGTGTGGTGCTCATAATTCTGTCTTGAAATTAATACTTTCTACCTAGGAAAACAAAAATGAATTTTGTAATAATATTATTAACTTTGTGAAGGGGTGGTTAATATTTATTTTTTACACTTTGTGTGTGAGTACCATTTTGTACGCAAGATTGTTGCATGTAGAAGCTGAGATTCTATTATGGACAGGGAATTGTCTAAATATCTTGTAAATATTTGTCTGAATTTAAGTGAAATGAAATGTAAGAACCGACTAATATTGGATGTCAGTGCCAGTGTGCCATTAAGTGTTTGTTGAGGTATGTGAAAACTTTTTGGAATAGTCTTGAGGTTGAGGGTAATGGAAGCTGTTCTTGGATAGGCAAGTTAAGAGACACCTTCCGGACTTGAATCTGGAACAAATGCTGGTTAGGAATTAGATTAGGAAAGTGCATAAGTAATCCGGTGTACTAGGATCTGCACTGAGCTCAGTTTTTGGATAAGGAAAGTGGTTTTGTTGCTCTTTTGTTGTACTACTAGTAAGAATGGTTTGACCTGGTCCTTTCTTTGTGCATTCATATCTTTGGTTTCCGCAATGGTTTGTTAATGAAATGATTAAGTTCAACTGATGTGGTAGCTACTGATGGCATTTTAGGTGCTTATTTCTTGTTGGATGTAATTTGTTTCTTGTAATTCTATATTTTTCATTATCAGATGCAAACTAGCGCTTTAGTCTGTTAAAGGATTATTTTTCTGGTTAATGTTCAGTTAAAGTATTAAATCATATCTTTCTGTCTTTATCTGTAGTCTCTTGATAAACAAGGAGTAAGTTTCTGTACCCGGACCACACATGATGACAATGCCATCACAAATGCTGTTGAAATATACGATAGATTGGGGTATTTTAGCTAGTTCTGAAGATCTGTTCGTCTGAATTTTTTCTTTTAATAAAACACAACTTGATATAGAAACGCTTTTTCAGGGGTGGAATGCATTTCATGGCATCCAATAATGACTGCGGCATAAGAGAATATGACATGGAGAAGTTTCAGCTTTTGAATCACTTTCGTTTCCCTTGGCCAGTGAATGTGAGTGATCCTAAGAACTTAATTCATATTGATGGTTTCGGTCGGATAAACTTACCCGCCTTTTTCTATTTCTATACTAAGAATCTACATATTTGTCTTTACACTTTCACTTTCTGTGATTTTCATTGACTCCAACCTCCCTAGATATTAATATTAGAAGGCTAAGTTGTGCATTGAAGAGTATTATTTTTTATTTATGTGGAAATTGTTGAGATGTCAACTAGGAAGTCAAGCTTTCAAATCAGTTTTATTTTGTTCAATTGGTTGTGCTGAGGACAAGGACAATTTTTAAAATAAAAGGAAATTGGTGACTGGTGTAGGTCACAGACTAATTTCATATTTTGGTTTAGCTTGATGGACATTTCGTTCTTTTATAGAAATTGAAGCGATTTTCCTTTTCAGCTAATGACATAGGAACAATTTTCCTCTCCAACTAAGGTCGATACCACTTGCCAAAATTTTTCTTCATTGACCCTCTCCATAAAAGCACAAAATGTTGATTGAGCCAATCCTAGTATTGAAAATATTTTGCAGACTTGAAACAAATTACCTCTTTGAAATAGAAGAGTGCAATATACTTAAATGCTTGTAAACTGGAAGTGATCCGCAATTGCTTAATGTGTTGGTTTCTGTGGTTAATCCTCCCATAACTCTTTTTCTTAACGTGGAGCTGACCTTATTTGCAGCATACATCAATAAGCCCAGATCGTAGGCTTGTTGCCGTTGTTGGTGATCATGTAGATGCATTGCTCATGGATTCGCAGAATGGGAAGGTACCAAGATCTTTTTCCTGATCATGATACTTTTGTCTGCAACTTATTTTGTTGCGTTTCTTTCCATAGAAATATTCTTGCTAATAAGATGAGGTAAACTGTGAAAATTGAGCGCGAGACTTCGAGGAAATGGTTAATGGTGGAAAAATACCAATACAAGTGTTATCTTTAATACGATAACAGATTTTTGCTTACACAGTTGTTTTTATAATTGTTCAGCATAGAGATATCTACTTTTTGTTTATCTTTTAATATACCGTAACTTTGTGTTAGCAGAGCAGTTGTGCTTCTAAATTCCAAATTTACACCTAAAAGCATTTTCCAGGTTTTATTTTCAAAGTTGAGAACCGTTTACTAACCATATACAACTTTGTTTTTTTTTTTTTTTTTTTGTCATTCCAGACTATTGCTAAGGTCGTTGGTCATCTGGATTACTCTTTTGCGTCAGCATGGCATCCTGATGGTCGCATATTTGCCACCGGAAACCAGGACAAGACTTCCCGAGTCTGGGACATAAGAAATCTGTCATTGCCAGTTGCTGTTCTGAAGAATAACTTGGGTGCTGCTAGGTCAATTCGCTTTTCATCTGATGGTCAGTTCATGGTGGTTGCCGAACCTGCGGATTTTGTGCATATATACAGCACAAAGGCAGATTACAAAGTGCGGCAAGAGATTGATTTCTTTGGGGAGATATCCGGTGTATCAATGAGTCCTGATGACGAGTCTCTGTATATAGGAATCTGGGACCGAACATACGCCAGCTTGCTACAGTATAACAGGAGGCATACGTACGGATATCTGGATTCCTATTTTTGATCCTTTTGGCAAAGGGCTGTCCATCAGTGTTGGCAATGTGATTTTCTCAGAAGTTAAAAAGCAGAAAGAGTGCAGTTTTACTTTTTTTGAACTCTTTGTAACTTTTTTTTTGTGTGTAGGTTAGTTTGATAAACCAAGTTTAAAGTTGGAATAAGCCAATGATTGATTAGAATTTAGAGTTTGTACAGTGATGTGAAACCCTTGTTTGTTAAACCATTTCCTATAAACCCATTTTTTGCTTTTTCCTAATCTTTTATTTTCGGCTAAATAGCCAAAATGGTCCCTGAGATTTGCATAACTCATCACTTTGGTTTCTGACATTTCAAATCGATAAAAGTGGTTCTTGAGATTGTCTATCATCCATCATTTTGGTTCTTACGTTAAAAATTCCATAAAGTGTTTAGGAGCTTTTGGTCGGAAGTTTGGGTAATTTTCAAAACTTCGTAACTTAATCGTTTCTTAACCAAGTTCAACTCATAATATATCAAAATGAATATAGGAAAGTGTAGAATAAGAATATACCTATTTGGAAGCCCAATGGCTGTCGGAGATAGCCGGAAAATAGCTTCAAAGTTGACTGGTCCGAAGGAAAACTCAAAAACTCACCGGAAACTGTGTAGACTTTAAACATTCATAACTTCTTTAATACTCAACAAAATCAAGTGATTCAAAACGAAAATCATACTTCTCGACGATACGAAGAGAATGGTATCTTTTTCGACGGCTAACCAAGTGGCTGTCTTAGTCTCAAGTTAGACACTTTGGAGCCGTTTTGCTGGCCAAACCACGACGATTTAGCCATCTACAAAGGTACCATTATCTTCATCTCATCGAGAATATTTTCATATTTGAATCACTTGATTTCGTTGAGTATTGAAGAAGTTATGAACGTTTAAAGTTTACCCAGTTTCCGACGTGTTTTCCAGTTTTCCCTCGGACCAGTCAACTTTGAGGCTATTTTCCGGCTATATCCGGCAGCCATTGGGCTTCCAAATAGATATAATCTTATTCTACACTTTCCTATCTTCATTTTCATTTTGATATATTACTTACGAGTTTTTAACGGAATGACCAAAATAATGGATGGTAGACAATCTCAGGGACCACTTTTATCGATTTGAAATATTAGGGATCAAAGTGATGAGTTATGCAAATCTCAGGGAACATTTTGACTATTTAACCTTTATTTTCTTTTCACTGTTCCTTGTGCCTTATTCTCTCCTATAGCAGAGTGAAATACAACAATTTTGTTCAATAGTTCGGGACCGCTTGGTAGTCTTGGAAATAAGCGTGAAGGGTTACTTTAAGAAATCATTTTCATCTTTGTCGTTCATTTTTCCGGATTACTCATTAGTCTCGAATTATTGAAGATAAGCTCGAAATACAGTATGTGATATCGTAAAGTTTGTTTGTTAACTGTTTTTGTTTTTATTTTTTATTTTTTGTACTATATAGGGGCTTTTCGATCTAGGTCCAAAAACATAGGTAGTTTTTGAACTAAGTCCAGTTATCCAATTACATATTTTTATACCAATTTTGCCCTTTTAAATAAAAATATTTAAATTCTTTTTTGTATCATTTATTCAGTTTTTAATTTTGAATATTTAAATACTCAAACTAAAATATTATCTAGTAACCACCTAATGATGTTTACCTAAAAACCGATATAATTTAGTAACTACCTATTGTATAGGAAGAAAAATACTGTATACCAACAAAACAGATGTAATCTACCTGCAAAACAAAAATAAACTACCTATTGTATAGGAAGAAAAATGCTTTATACCTACAAATAGATATAATCTACCAACAAAATAAAACTAAACTACCTATTGTATAGGAAGAAAAATGCTGAACCTCCATGGCAGAACATTAGAATAGAAATAAGATATAATATACCTCCATTAAAGGAACAAATACTAAGCTTCAGTTTACCTTTATGATATGCACAAAAATATAATAGAGCAAATATAAATGCATGATATTGTATTATTGCTTGCAATTGATAATGTATTGCCGAACGAATATGTAAAAAAATTGTGAAAGCTATGTAAAAACTGAAATTGTCATGAAGGAATTTGGAGAGAGGAACGCAAAATATCACCCATGAAAGATGAGAGAAGAAAGAGGAGGATTGATTCCATGATCTAACAAAGGGAATTGTTTAGAAGAAGGAAAAAAAAGGAGGTATGGGACGGACTGGGGGTTGAGATTTTATTGCTATAACTAATCCTACAATTAAGGGAATAGTTAAACCACAAATAATCATATAATTAAGAAATTTTGAATATTTACTACCATTTATAAGTCTAAGGGATAAATATGGTACAAATTATAAATAAGCTTACGTAGAATATCAATTATTGGACCTATTTCAATGCAATGGACTAATTCTAGTAATGGCTCACAAAATTGGATCTATATCAAATTATCCCTACTATATATATGAAACATTTTTTTTGTATTTTTAAGTGTTTTAAGTTATTTTATAAGCAATTCCAAACGAGCTCTTAATCTCAATGTTTTATGCTCTTATTTTATACTTTTTTTTTTATCATTTGTAATAACTAATCATGAATGATTAGAGTTCTACAGTATAATTCTTGGATTGCATTGTTTAAGAGCATTTTAAGAGAAGCTCTAAATTTTTGTTAAACAAGCTAATGGATAGTGTTAAAAAATTAAATTAGCCACTCAACTTAACTTTTGATTTATAGCAACACTTTATATTTTAACGAACTTTATATTTTACTATTCACAATTCAAACTCAACCCATTTATTTTCTAAAACAGTCTTCTTTGTCTTTCTTTTCTCCTAAACTCAAGGCTGGAGTCTTATTATTTTTTTAATATTTAGCTAATGAACAATTACTCTGTAAATTTAAAAAGTGACTATTCAGTTTGCCATAAGAGAGATTCTTTTACGAAGATATGTGCTTTTTATTTTATTATTATTTTATAATTTGACTCTTTAATTTAAACCACATTACTCATCTACCCTCCTTAGTGTAGATACTTTATCGATTGTTCCAAAAAATAGAATTTTGGTTGTTTTGCAGCATCTCTTCAAGATGCTCTAATTCATCTGTGGTGCCAATGAAATGTAAAAAGGGTAAGGTTATGAAATTGATGAAACTGCAAATCTATCTGTAAGAGTAAGACTACTGCGAGTCATCTCTGCACTGTCACAATGGAACTGGAAGCCAAGGTTCTCCTGTAGTTTGTTCAAAAAAAAAAAAAAAAGGTTCTCCTGTAGTAAAATGACAGAGGAACCCCACTGCTCCAATATCTAGTTAAGACTGTCGGTGGAACAAAAATTCTTGGATGTTACTCCGAATGTTTTAACCGTTCGATCTTGATTTACTCCTTTCCTCGGCCGTGACACTGACAGCGATGCAAAGTGAGGAGGCGAGTGGGCTGCTTTTGTCTTTGCCCGTGACATGTTTGCTAGCTGCCAAGGGCGTCCCCGTGAACCATATGTTGGTCCATGTGAGTGAGCCCTGCCTGTGTCTTTCTCTTAAGTCACAACCCACCATGCATGCATATGTGTTTCGATTTACTCAATTACCTACTTGCCTATAGATTCTTCTCATTTCTTTCCCCTTATGTTGGTTGTTAGGTTTGAAATTATTAATACGAGCGCTCACACCAAACGTGTCGATATTCTGCTCAATTTAATCACACTGGTATGAGGTGTTATATGATGGTTTAGACATTTTTCTACATTTTAAGTTTATTTCCTCACTTTTTTCTTCTTCGGTTCGTAGTTAGGTTTGTGAAATTATCATGAATCGGTTTAAGCATTACCTAATTATCTATATACCAATTGTTGGTTGCTGGTAGATTTCACGAGTGAATGTTTTTTATTTGCTAATTCCCTTATATGTTGTTGGGTTTGAGGGAGTATGATTTTCTCCTCTTCAAATTCTCCTCCTCTCCCCTCATTTCCTATTTGAACGGTCACAATTATGTCACGTTAACATTTTTGTTGATTGTTTATAGAGAGAGAGAAAGACGAAGAAGAAAGTGAGAGCGAAGAGAAGGAGAAGGGATTGGAGGAGAGAAAACCCTACTTCGAGTTTGAACGACATTCAAAATTTCAAATCCAAAAGGTGTTGGGGTCGAAAGTGGCAGAAAGAGGAGAGACAAGAATGTTTTTTATTTAATCATAAACTGTTAAACTTAGGTTCCAAGGACACAAGAAAATGAATAAATCTGTCGCTTGTGTTTCATTAAAATTTGAAAGATGCTTAGAGTGCAGAAAATATTCACTAAAAGTAGGAATTCCTCCTAATATTTTATCAGGCCAGAACAACACACATATTCGAAAGGAATCCTCGACCGGTTACGGTTTGATTGAAATTTGGGAATTGAAGGGTAGTAAAAATGACAAATGAATACAAACAAAGAAACAATTATATACAAAATTAGGTAAAACATGAAAATAATGGATTACCAGCTAGCTTCTGGAACTCCTGAAACATACAAACACAACATATATTTAGTCTCAATCTGTTTTTTTTTTTTTTTTAATTTTTTAATACAAGCTACACTAAAGGATGAAGGAATTGAACGCAAAATATTGGGTCCAGACAATGATGCCGGAAATTTTTGGGTGGGTTTGAGCCATTGTGGATGAGGTTCGGGTGGTCATAGAGGTTGGTTGCTACCTAAAAGGCTTTCCACGGATGCACTCAAGCCACTCTCTAGTTTCATGGTATGAATGCAATCGTGTAGCCGTTTCCAGCATATATATACTTTTCACTACTTGAGTTACAAATACCATTTATATTAGTACGTGTTTTTCGAGTATGCAATATAATATTCTTGCATAAAAAGGACTCAAAAAGGGGAATATTTTACTACTCACAATGTAATATTTTTATCAAATCGTTCAATCTGCTGATATGCAAACAAGATTATTAGAGTTGGAATTATTATGTCTGAGATTATTAACTCTACCAAGTGGCAAGTGCAAGTGGTACTCAAAGTCTTTGTATTTTTCATCAAAGATATGTTTTTGCATGTATGCAAATTCACTTTCCTTATCAATAATAGTAAAAAATAATCTTCTGTGGAAAAAATGGACTGCATGCAGATGCAGCTGGTCCTGCATTTGCATTATTAGATATAATTTGGAAACGGAAAGTGAAGTAACGAGGCAACAAAGAAGCCGAAGCAAGCGACAAAGATAAAGAAAATTTGGCTTGGGATGCGGTTGGCAGGCACATGTAATTAGAAAGAACCCTAGACCCACTTTATGGACCCAAACTGTCGTAAGCTTGGGGCTTCAAATTTTCAATCTCTTATCTCTCATCAAACACTCTCTTCTTTCACGTTTAGGGAAATGTAAGATGATTCTGTTGTTAAATGTTTGAATCTTGATTATTAGTAAGACATACTTTTAGATATGTCAATACACTCGACATATATCGCATCTTACCCTCCAATACTCTATTGTGTCTTACTTTACTCCTTGTGCGGTTATCATCCATGTCCAATAATATTACTTTATTTCGTCAACGGGTGGAGAGAAAAGTCAGTTTCGTTGATGTGATAAAGGTTATGTAGTCTTTTTAAGCCGTTAATATAGGAGTAGATTAAAGAAATTGTGCGTTTCAATAACAATCTTGAGAAATTGAGCTATTTAGGGTTGCTAATAATGAAATTTGGGGTAATTATTCTTCTAAAAGTGTTTTTTTTACGATTTCAGATGTCTTAAATGTGAAAATGAATTAAAAAAACAAAATAGTCACTACCACGTATGTCACAGCCCGTCCCAAATTATTGTTTTCGATGGTGTGAAAAGACGAAATTGCCCTTGGACGTTTTGTGTGGTTGTGTGGTTTAAGTTTAGAAGTGAACTAATACATTAAGTCCCTAATATTTTGGAACCAATTAGGACTTAGAGTTGTATGGTTTTGTGGTTGTTTGGAAGTCAAACAATTTTGGACCCCACACACACCTTCCCGTGTATTCTCTCTCTCCTCCCTCTCGATTTTCTTCTGTTTCCGTCAACTTTGTACGGACGAACTCCAAGCCTTCCATTTCAGGCATGGATCGAGGTTGTAAAGATAACATTCAAACTCTTTGCATGCCTAGGAGTTGATTTATACCTGTATTTGGACTTAAAACCTTCGAAAACCCTAGTTCTCACGAACTCCGATTTAAATACTGTTCATGCACTAATTATTGTGAGGTTTTTAGGAGTTTTTAAGGGCATATGAAGCTTTGAATCATCCTCACGAAGCTCAGAGAAGAAAAATGGCATGATTTGGACGTTGGGAAATCAAGATATATGCATTTGAAGTTTGGCCGGAATTATCGTGCTTTCTCCGGCGAGATCCCGTGATTTTTGGAGCTTGGAATTGGTAAGATATGTTCTATTCGTCCTAAACTTCAATTTGGTTCAAGTTTCATGGAATTTGGTTGAAAATTGACTGAGATATCAAGGTTTTTCAAATTCCCAATTTTCCGGCGACGGCGATGGTGACGGTAGCCGGAGTTCGAATGTAGGGGATGACGGAATATTCCTAACGGCGTTGGTTAGTTTAACGGTTTCCGTTACTTTTTAACGGAATATTCCTAACGGGGTTAGGGGATTCCGTTAGGGTCCCTGTGCGTGGTCGCGCGTAGGGCCGTGCCCTTATCGGCGCGTGAAAGCTCTAAAAATTATTTTAAAAATTTGGGCGTGTTCGTGGAGTTGTGTAGGTCACGATGGTATATTTATATACCTTATTTGAGCAATGTATGAGAAGTTATTAGCTAGTATTGGTTATGTGCTTTAAATTAACGTTTTTATAGTTATTTCGCATATAGGGGAGACTTATCCTGAGGATGAGCGCAGTCAAGGGCGACTCAAGGGCTACGACCCTTCGACATACCAGTGAGTGGGTTTTTGGCTTTCAGTATATATTTATATACTTGATATTTTCCCAGAAAATGTGTTTGAATGAAAGTATACTTTGAAATGCCATGCATACAAATTTATATTCAGCATATGAATTAGTATATGATGCTTGCATACATATAATTGTAGTGTTGTGGATGCTCAGGTAAGCCCAAGTGAGTTATGGAATTGTGAATGCGAATAATGGTTGTGATTATTTGAGAAGCATAGAGCTCATAAACCTGCACCTCGGGTGATTGTGATTTAGCCAGATATAAGGTACATGCCTGTTTATGATGTCACCTCCCGCACCCTATGCTCACATTGGATCCTATTTAGGTGCACATTCTTGTTATACAAACCATCATAGGTGGTTCCTACTCGTAGGTGACTAGCGAATTATCGCACAACTATTATGAAAGAGTAGCATTGAGCATAACTATATTTCACCCAGTTTTGTCGTACAGACCATTACAGTGGTTCCGACTTATGTGCACTGTAGTGCTGTATAGGTCACTTGCGGTGACTCTAGCTAGATTGACTAATGAGTTATAAATTTAGCCGTACAGACCTTGGCAGGGGTTCCGGCTAATATGTTATTTTCTATGAAATTATTATCACCTGAGTTACTTATTCTGTTTTATATTTTGGCTTGGCATACTTATGAATATGGTTATGTGAAGCATGAATTGATATATATATATATATATATATATACACACACACATATATACATATATATATTTATATTTCATTTCTAGGAGAATTATACATGTTTTACGGCGAGGGGTTAGAGCATTTGATAAATTAAATGATTTTGAAAAACTTTGTTTTTGCCCATTCACGTTTTCTATTTTGCACCCCTCCAGGTTTTAGGTAGACTTGTTGTTGGTGGCATTTGAGGATCTCGGCGGTTCTGACAAATTATATATTTAGTAGGACATCTTCTAGTACTTGTCCTACTGGACTGCACCTAGACTTTCTATGCTCTTATTAGGTGTATTTACACTTGTATTTCATTCCTAGCATTTTCTGCTTATTAGTGCACATTAATTAGCGTTCGGTTTATTTATTCGTATATTTCATATCCTTATCGTTTCCGCACTGTGCAAATGGCTACGTCACCCTCACGTGACGGCCAGCACGCCTTGATCTTTGGTCGGGGTGTGTCAACGTAAGTGGAACTAGCAATTGCTTTAACTGTTGACGGAATGGGATAAAATGAGACACAAATAATGAGTATAAGGGTCAAAGTCAAAGAGAATCAAGTGTAAAGAGTAAAATGCTAGGAATACCATGTTTTTAGACCATAATTTGTAGACCAGATGATGTGTCGGTTAATGGTAAGATACATTCTTTAATAATTTATATAAAGAATCCAACCATCAACCATCATTTCATATAGTTTGCAAAATATGATTCAAATTTTCAAATAATGATCCTTCTAGTATCACCTTATTAATAATGTAATTATACGTGTAAATATTAGGTGGTACTTCGCACCTCCATTTCTCTCCCAACCAATATTGGTTAAAAATTCCAAAAAATACATGAAATAGTTTTAGCAAAATATAACTAAAAATGTTTCTTTTTTCCCATGGAAATCAAATGCTAACTTACTTCATGTTAGTTCTTCTTTGAATTTAAGTCATAGATTCATAGTCTGCAACAAAATACATGTTTTTTTTATTCCAAAGCTACACGTCTTCTGAAAAAGATGGTAGAAGAATATTATTTTTCACAGTTTTGCCTACTCACCCACCATTTTCATCTCATGGGCATTCACAAAGGACCATACAAACCCTATTTGGTGACGCAAGAAAATATTCTCTCTCTCTCTCTCTCTCTGTGACGACGACCGGTTTACACAAAAGTCCCAGTTTCACACCCACATTCTCCCTTTTCCCTCATTTTGGCCTTTACAAAGGAACCATTAATTAAACACTCCATTTGGTATTTGACAACTCTCTCTCTCTCGTGAGTTCACAGTAACTAATAATGCAATCGAACAGTCTTTCATGGCGGATTTTCCGTGAAGTACGTACGGTGTTCCACAAGTAAAAGCATCACTTTTTCCACAACTTCTGAAACCATCAGCATTAGAAACTGTATTCTCGTCAACAATGGCTTCTCTCGGATTCCTCCAACATATGCTGCCATCAATATTGATATTAGCATCTCTTCACGCCTGCATGGGAGACGCCACAGTTCCTTCACAGCTCAACAACGACGTTCTAGGCCTACTCGTCTTCAAATCCGACATCCATGATCCTTCCTCGTACCTCGCTTCATGGAATGAAGATGAGAACTCCCCTTGTTCTTGGGAATATGTACAATGCAATCCAGCCACCGGAAGAGTCTCTCAGCTGTCACTCGAAGGCCTAGGCCTAAAGGGAAAAATCGGAAAAGGGCTTCAGAACTTGCAAAATTTGAAGGTACTTTCTTTGTCAAGCAACAATTTCAGCGGAGACATTAGTCCGGAGAAGCTTGCTCTGCCTCCGAATCTCGAAAAGCTTAATTTAAGCCACAACAGTTTATCAGGATTAATTCCCACTAATCTTTTCAACATGAGCTCCATCAAATTTCTTGATCTTTCCGAGAACTCACTCTCAGGGCCACTCCCTGATAACCTGTTTGATAACTGCTTTTCGCTTCGCTATCTTTCGTTATCTGGTAACTTGCTTGAAGGTCCTTTGCCTAGCACACTGCCTAGATGCTCTTCTTTGAACAGTCTCAATCTCTCAAACAACCATTTCTCCGGTAACCCTGATTTCGCTTCTGGGATTTGGTCTTTGACAAGATTGCGCACTCTAGATCTTTCGAACAATGCCTTTTCCGGGTATGTGTCACAAGGGATATCAGCCGTACACAACTTGAAAGAGCTTCTGTTACAAAGCAATCACTTTTCGGGATCTTTGCCAGCGGATATAGGACTATGTCCTCACTTAGAGAAGATTGATTTGAGCTATAATATGTTCACTGATGCATTACAAGACTCACTTCAGAGGTTGAATTCTTTGACATTTTTCAGTCTGTCAGATAACATGTTCTCTGGTGATTTCCCTCAGTGGATTGGTAGCATGAGCAGCCTCAAATATTTGGATTTTTCGAACAATGGCTTCACCGGAAGCCTCCCACCTTCAATGAGTGACCTCAGATCACTCAATTATTTGAGTTTGTCAAACAACAAACTTGTTGGTACTATTCCAACTTCTCTTGCTTACTGCAATGATTTGTCGGTGATTCGGTTGAGGGGTAACACTTTCACTGGAAGCATACCAGAGGGCTTGTTTAATCTGGGGTTGGAGGAAATTGACTTCTCCCACATGGGACTTACAGGTTCTATTCCTCCGGGTTCCAGCAAACTCTTCGAATCTTTAAGGATGTTGGATTTGTCAAGCAACAATCTCAAAGGAAATATTCCGGCAGAAGTGGGACTTTTCTCCAACTTGAGGTACTTGAATTTGTCATGGAACAACCTTCAGTCAAGGATGCCTCCAGAGCTCGGCTTCTTTCAGAACTTAACGGTGCTAGATCTTCGAAACAGCGCCTTGTTCGGTTCTATCCCAGAGGATGTATGTGATTCAGCAAGCCTGGCAATTCTCCAATTGGATGGAAACTCGTTGACTGGCTCAATTCCTGATGAAATTGGCAACTGCTCATCTCTCTATTTGATGTAAGTCTATGATCCCCTTTTTTTTCCCTAAATTTTTCCCATTTGCCTTTTTATTTACTTATGAATTTGAATTAAATGAAATGTGACATTTTTTGTTTCAGGAGCTTGTCACATAACAATTTAAGTGGTACTATTCCGAAATCCATTTCGAAGCTAAATAAGCTCAAGATTCTTAAATTGGAGTTCAATGAGTTGAGTGGAGAGATACCCCAAGAACTTGGAAAACTAGAAAATCTACTTGCTGTGAACATATCATATAACAGGTTGGTAGGGAGGCTTCCTGCTGGGAGCGTATTTCAGAGCTTGGATCAAACTGCGCTGCAAGGAAATCTGGGAATTTGCTCACCATTGTTAAAGGGACCATGTACGATGAATGTGCCTAAGCCTCTTGTTCTAGATCCAACTGCGTACAACAACCAAATGGGCGGTCATAGACACCATAACAAATCTGCAACATCCACAAAAGACCAGCGCCGCACCTTCCTTAGCTTATCTGCCATTGTGGCAATTTCAGCAGCCAGCCTGATTGTTTTGGGAGTGATTGTTATTAGTCTTCTGAATGCATCCGCAAGGAGGAGGCCTGCATTTGTGGAAACTGCCTTGGAGAGCATGTGTTCAAGCTCTTCACGTTCAGGTAGTTTGGCATCGGGGAAGCTCATTCTCTTCGACTCAAGGTCATCCCCGGAATGGATTAGCAGTCCTGAATCCCTACTCAACAAGGCCTCAGAGATCGGCGAGGGAGTCTTTGGAACAGTTTACAAAATTCCACTTGGAGCTCAAGGAAGAGTAGTTGCTATCAAGAGGTTGGTCACATCAAATATAATCCAGTGCCTTGAAGATTTTGATAGAGAGGTTAGAATTCTGGGGAAAGCAAGACACCCGAATCTAATCGCTCTAAAAGGGTACTATTGGACTCCACAGATGCAGCTGTTGGTAACAGAGTTTGCCACCAATGGCAGCCTTCAATCCAAACTCCATGAAAGACCTCATTCAAGTCCACCTCTTTCATGGGCTAATAGGTTCAAAATCTTGCTTGGAACAGCAAAGGGACTTGCTCAATTGCACCACTCATACCGCCCGCCAATCATCCACTACAACATCAAACCTAGTAACATCTTGCTCGATGAGAGTTACAACGCGAAAATATCAGACTTTGCACTGGCAAGGCTCCTGACAAAGATAGACCAGCATGTAGTGAGTAACAGATTTCAGAGTGCACTAGGTTATGTGGCGCCGGAACTGGCATGCCAGAGCTTAAGGGTGAATGAAAAATGTGATGTGTATGGTTTCGGCGTGTTGATTCTTGAGATCGTGACTGGGAGGAGACCTGTGGAGTATGGGGAGGACAATGTGGTAATACTGAATGACCATGTTAGGGTTTTGCTTGAGCAAGGGAATGCGTTGGGGTGCATTGATGTTAGCATGGGGTATTACCCAGAGGATGAAGTCCTACCAGTGCTTAAGTTGGCTTTGGTTTGCACCTCACAGATTCCATCCTGCAGGCCTACCATGGCAGAAGTTGTTCAAATTATGCAGATTATCAAGACCCCAATTCCACAAACAATGGAGGCTTACTGATTCGAACACGGGACGCATGGGTAGAAACCTCACATCCTATCCACTAGGATATTGGACCATATGCAATGTTTGTTTTTTCTATGTATTTAATCAGTTTTTTCTAAGCTTGAATTGATATTCCATATGTTTTCAATGTGAATGGTTAGTGTCGTTGCAATGTGAATTTTTAAAATCGGTTTAGGAATCTTTTGCCTGGAAAGGTTACTCCCTTGTGACCGAAAAGTTACAGGTTTAAGTCGTGGACACAGTCTCTTTGCAAAGCAAATGTATGACTGCGTACGATAGATGTTCCTCCCGCCCCCAACCCTTGCTGGGAGCCTTGTTGGCTCGGGGTTTAGAAATCTTGCACCTCAAGGAATTGTAGCACCAGTGGAAGAAATGAAAGTTTTATGTCCATTACATTTGATGGGTTTATTAGCTGAACTAAACTAGGTTTTACCATTCAAGATAGGATATCCGATACAAGATTAAATGTGGTAAAGTAAATATTAAATTAGACTGGACTATACTGCACTCTTGCACTATTCGGATTTTTTTAAACTCGTTAGCACGATCAAGTTATGACTAATCTTAACCATTGTAAAAATTTAAAATGTTTACTTCAGTTTCATATAATGAGGGACAATCAAGTTCAGTTCAATATAATTCAAAATTTTATAAAGTGAACTTTTTTTTTTTTAACGAACGATTTAGTTACACTAAATATATCTAAACTACGAGAATAAGTTTCAAATTATTGTTCTTGTAACATTTGGAGCATCTCCATGATTCATCCACTAGAATTGTAACGCTAAAGACTTGTTCACGGGGTTTATACTGTTATACATGAACATGAGAGAGAGAAGGTTATCACAATGAAAGTGTGATTTTGGTAGATAAAAACAAAATTACATGTCAATATTTGGACGCTTTCGTTGTGGATGTGGGGTAGACCGTACGACATAACGTTTTCTTCACGGGTGACGTTACAGAAATCAATTTATATTATTATATGTTATCCTGTGGTATAAGTTGGGATTTGGACCATCTCCCGAGCTTAAAAAGTTGAGCCTCCTGAGCAAAGCACACGGTCGTTAAATTTTGATTCAACGATTACAAACAGAAAATTCTTTTAAAAGTTATAATAATTATAATCGTTAGATCAAAATTCAACGGTCCATATGTTTTGCTCGGGAGGCTCATGATCCAAATCCATAAAGTTGTGTATAATAAATAATATCAAGGAATCTTGCATCATCGTTTCATCCCCCAATACAAAACCGGGAACAAGGTGAGCCAATTTGCTTACGTGGCTCGCCCGTGATTATTTTTCATCATTTTCTTTTAGGTAATACTAAGGCGATTCAATTTGTAATAATAAAATTTTAGAAATTAAAAGGCGTGAAAGTGATGATTGGTTTATTACTTAAATATTAATAAATATATTCATTCTTATTGGTGACACATCATTTAGTTAACAAATTTTGTCTTCAAATTTTATCTCCCTAGCATTACTCTTTTCTTTTCTCCATAAAATACTCCAAATATATATTGATGGGTGCAATAATGTGGAGGAAGATTATATCCCCTCCTAATCTTTCTCCTCTTCTCTTCCCTCCTACTTGAACTGTTACGATTACGCCATGTTAACATCTTATATTAATTTTTTTTATAGAAACAATAAGACAAAAAACAATGTGGAAGAGGAGGGGAGGAAAGGGGATGAGAATAGGAAGGGAGAGAATCTTACTCCTAGTAATGTCGTGCCAAAAATGGGTGATAAGTAAATATGTCGGTTGCAAGGCACTTCTGTCTTGTTTGGTGGGCTGGATGGAACAGTTTGTGACTAAATTAAATGAACTTGTCTAGTTCATTGTTTATTGAGTGAGTTATAGCTACAAGCAATAGGATTTTCCTAATCCTCTCTTCCGAAAAGGAATAACATGAAATTCTTTTTCCTTTCCTCAAAGACCAAGAGATTGGATCTAGCTATAAAAAGAATGCTTGACTAATAACTAACACACTTCTTGGTCTTTGACCCCCTCAGTCACTACAAAACGCCCCCGAACAATGCAATGGGATGTGTATTTATCTATCTCTTGACTCGAAATAAGAACAGGTTTGAAAAAGGATCTTAAAGTGTCTAGGGTTGAGCCACGAGGGTCTCCTAACGCCTTCTTTTTTCTTCTCATCAAAGTTATTTCACACAGACTTGTCATGGTCAGAAAGAAAAGAGGAACAAGCACACTTGCAGAACACAGTACAACAGAGATTTGTATGCTGCGTTCAGGAATGATGAATCACTCCGAAAAAAAATCTCTTTAACCTATTCTCATACATTAATTATAAGTCCTGTTTGACAAGTTCCTACCAATCCAACCACCCCTAAGGCCCAATCCCATCGAGCCCACCAAACCGGGCGATCAAGTTTAAGAATCAGTTTAGTATTGTTGTGGTTTTATAAAAATAAATAAAACAACGATTAATTTGCAATTACAAACAATTTTCAGAGTAAAGGAAACGGAATCAGAATAGAATACGACCATCATCATCATACATCCGGGTCTAAAGGCATAAAATATTGCTCAAAACTTGACAGATTCGTAAAATTGAATCCAAGAAAATCTCTAAATGTTCATCATCTTATACAGGTAGAACAACAGAACAGGAAAGTTAATTCTCCTTACGACTAACATTTCAAACACTGCCTTACTTCAATTCTCGTGCAACGCTTTTGTCAAATACAATCTGCTGAAGCTCTGGCCAGTAACCCTGTAAATTGCACAATACGGTTAGAATTGCCAGAAGTACTACCATTAAGAATCATATGTAGTTATGAAAGTGCCATGCAAAACCACTTCCCCTCGCCCGAAAAAACAAGAGGATAGCGTCTACCGGCCACAAAATTTGCAACATACCCATTAATTTGGTTGCAGTAGTTTGAGATCTGATTGGTTATGAGAAAGCTATCCAAACGTGAAGGCTCGGGTAGTGGCTTGAAACAGGGTTTGAAGGATCCTCCTCAGGTAGAGGTTCATCTCCTGCGGCCTTTCGTGCCATATTCTCCAACCTATGAAACACAGAAGAGGAAACTGAATGACTAGTACACAAAAAACTGTAAAGCAAACAAACACATGCCAATCACATATAATAAAACCATTAAAAAGCAACGTTGACGCCAATCAACATGTAAAATCCCAAAAAAAACGAAACCAAACACCATAATAACGAATCTATCAAATACCATGAATAAAAGAATCCATTTCAAATGAAATATATTACCTTCTCTTTTGGATCCATGCTTGCTGTTGGGCTTGCTGACGTGACAGGTTCCTGTAATAGTATTGGAACTGGAAGACAAGACACAAATTAAGACATGCAAATGAGCAATCATAACATGAGAACACTCAGATAAGGAGAAGACAAACCTTCTGCTGTTCCATTGACAAATCATCCATGCATTCAATGAGAAATTCCATATTCCTCTCCAGAAATGGGCTTGTGGATAATTGCAGACGGTCGTAATCACACTAAAACAGCAAATAGATATAATAAGTACTAAGATAATTTCAAGACTCGTATAGAATTTCTCATAAAATATCATATACAAACCTGGACAACAGGTGTATCAGCTTCCAGCTCAGTCATAAAGGCACTGATAAGTGCAGAATTCGAAACTTTGATCTGTCAAGTCCAAGCAGCATAAATATCAAAAGAAAATAGTAAAACCGTGCACAACCTTCAGACAAACGTCAGGCAAAAAAAAAAAAAATGAAAAAAGAGGCACCAAAATCACCACCCTTTATTAGGAAAACTGGAGAGCATGAAATATTCATGTTAGACCACATAACTTGATAACAAACAATGAACACATCTGAGATCTTTATTCTGGTTTTTTAAGAGTAACCCAAGAGCGCATCATCCTTTTTGGTCCTTAAAGTTTTCAACAACTTAAAGAACAAAATTATTGGAACAATAACAAGTTTGTTTTTTAAAAGCATACTAAAAGATATGCTAGACCTAAAATACTTAAAAAGAACTACTTCTCTTATCAAAAAGAAAAAGTACTACTTCTAACAATTATCTGACTACTTTTCCAGTACAGGTGACTGGCATGACCATCAATAAGTGTCTCTGACTAGTAGTTCCACGTATTGAATAAATGACAGGTTAATTGCGACCATTCATTCAAAAGTTGAAAAGTGATATTACAGAGAAATTAAACAAATAGGTCTTGATATAAAAGCAAAGGATCTATAGACTGTATTATCCTAGTGCACGAAATAATCCAGTTCAACAAACTTACAGGTATTTCTTCAAAAATATCCACCCATGATAGGTTTTTCTCCCTCAACCTAATACCACAAACAAATAACAAAATGAGTTTCCATACATTACTATAGGTTTTTTTGGTAAAAATTAGTATAGGTTTTACTAGCAACAACAACAACAAAGCCTTTTCCCATTAAGTGGGGTCGGCTAAGTATAGGTTTTAATAGCACTGAAAAAAAATGATATCATACTTCTCTCCTGTAAAATTGTTAGTGCGGTAGAGATCCATGAATGAATCGGAAAGCTTCAGTGCCTTGAGTGCTAAAACGCCTTGATTGGACTTCAATGGATCATAAATTATGCACACACAACGTCTGATATTTTCCTACAAACACAAAAAAAAAATTATGCAAAGACATAAGTAATTAAGTGAAACAACAGCCATGTTAAAGAAAAAAAATACAAAAATAACATGATCAGGTATGCAGTAGAAACTAAAGCACGCATAATCACTTTTAGCTGCTTTCTTTTTTGCAAGCCCAAGGCTACAGCAGTGCTTATTAATGCCAAAACAAGAGGTTTGGCCAAAAACACAAGTCTCCATGATAGAGTTTTTCCAATATTGATATTTTAGTCAAACACTCTAATTGACTTTCATTCAATGGAGTATGGTATCATTTTCGCACCTAACAAACTTCAAACAACATCGAAACCAAATTTACATTTGGTTAAAACTAGAGGTATCTGTTATAAACTCAAAATATACCAATTAGTATTTAATATGCATATAGGAAATTGTTGAAGTGCAAGAATCAGTGAGCAGACCTGTGAGAGGGCTTTCAAATGCTCACACATGAGCATTCAAACTGCCTCACATGTCTGCCTGCATCACATGTTCACCAGAACTGGCTTTATGTGTGTGTTGCATAAAGCCA